TCCAATGGAAAAAAAAATGGAATTTTGAGGGGATAAAGGTGATAAAAAAGGTGGAATTTAGGGGGGAAAAATATGGAAAAATTAAGAGGAGAACGGTGGAATTTAGGGAAAAAATATTGGGGGAAAAAAAGGTAAAAAATGGAAAAGTAAAAAAGGTGCGTTTTGAGGTCACTGCAGAGAAAAATGGGTCAAAAATGGTAAAAAATGGTGCAAAAAAAGTGGATTTTGAGGGTAAATCCACTGGAAAGGAAATTTTGGTGTCCCGGTGCTTGGAAATGGTGAAAAAAGGTGGAAAATTTTTTTAAAAAAGAGTCAAAAAGCAGAAAAAATGGTTAAAAAGGAGAAAAAAATGGTTGGAAATTGAAAAACAAAGGTTGGAAATTGAGAAAAAAGGAAAAAATGGTTTAAAAATGATAAAAAAGTGAAAGAAAAAGGGGGAAAATACAAAAAATGGTTAAAAAGGAGCAAAAAATGGTTGGAAATTTATAAAAAAACTGTTGGAAATTGAAAAAAAAAGGAAAAATAGAAAAAATGGGAAAATGGTTTAAAAATTATTTAAAAAAGCAAAAGAAAAAGGGAGAAATGGTAAAAAAAAATTAGGGAAATGGTAAAAAATAGCAAATATAATTGAAAAGTGTAAAAAATGGGAGGAAAATGGTGGAAAATGGTAAAAAAATTGGTTTGGAGTGGTTAAAAATAGCAAAAAAAATTGGGGGAAAAAGGAGAAAATGGTAAAAAGTTGAAGTGGTTAAAAATAGCAAAAAATATAAAATATGAGGAAAAAAGGAAATAATGGTAAAAAATTGGTTTGGAGTGGTTAAAAATAACAAAAGTGGAAAAAAAAGAGGAGAAAAAGGTTTAAAAAAAGGATTTTAAGTGGTTAAATATAGTAAAAAATGTAAAAAATTAAGGTTTGGTCAAAAAGGAAAAGAAAAATGGTGGAAAAAAGGGAAAATTCAGGGAGAAAATGAGGAAAAATGGTAAAAAAAGGGAAAAAGAATTGAAAAATTTAGAAATTGGTGAAAAATTGGTTTATAAAGGAAAAACGTGGCAAACGTGAAAACGGTGAAAAATGGGAAAGGTTCAAAAAAAGTAAAAAAAAAAAAAGGTAAAAAATTGCAAAAAAAAAAAAAAAAAAAAAAAAAAAAAAAAAAAAAAAAAAAAAGGAAAAAAAAAAGAAAAAAAAGGGAAAAAAAAAAAAAGGAAAAAAAAAGAAAAAAAAATTGGATTTTTGAGGCGCTCGGGGAGAAAAGGGGGAGATCCAGGAAAGGGGAAAAAAAGGGAAAAAAATGGGATTTTTATTCAATTTTGGGCTCGATCCCAACGCTGCGGCAGCCGGGAGGAAAAAGCGACGGCGGCGAGGGAAAAAGGCCCAAAAAAGCCCAAAAAATTGACCAAAAATCGGCAAAAAAAGCCCAAAAAAGTGTCCAAAAAACTCCCAAAATATCAGCAGAAAATGATAAAAATAATCCTGGAATACTGACAAAAAAAATAAATAAAGTGTCAAAAAGTTGTCCAAAAAACCACAAAAAATTTGTGAAAAAAGCCCATAAATTTGTAAAAAAGAAGACAAAAAAAAAATTCAAAAATCTCTAAAAATGTCGTCAAAAATAAAATGTCCAAAAAATTGACAAAAAATCGGCCAAAAAAGCCCAAAAATTAAAAAAAAAGTGTCCAGAAAAATCCCAAAATATCATCAAAAAATGATTTTAAAACAATCCTGAAATATTGACAAAAAAATTTTAAAAACCACAAAAAAATTGTCAAAAAAGCCCCAAAAATTCTCCAAAAAAAATCGACAAAAAAAAAGCACCAAAAAATTCTCAGAAAACTCCAAAAAATCATCAAAAAATAAAACAACGTGTCCAAAAAAATTGTCAAAAAAATCCCCCCAAAAATGCTTAAGATATCGAAAAAATATCTTAAAAATTACCCAAAAAAACCCCAAAATATCGTCAAAAAATTGTAAAAAAATTGTCCAAAAATCCCCAAAATTCCTTTAAAAAAAAACACAAAAAATTGTCCTAAAAATTGCTTTAAAATCTCAAGAAATCGTCAAAAAATGACCAAAAAATCATCACAAAAATCCCAGAAACTCTTAAAAAAACTCAACAAAAATAATTGAGAAAAATCCTAAAAAATCCCAAAAATCTTCAATGAAATTCAAAAAAATTGTCCAAAAAATTGTAAAAAAATCACAAAAAATTGTCCCAAAAATCTTTAAAAATGGTCAGAAATGCCCCAAAAAATACTTTAAAATCATCAAAGAAATCCCAAAAAATCATTGCAAAAATCCTGCAAAATCATCACAAAAATCCCCAAAAATTGACCAAAAAAATTTCCCAAAAAGTCCCAAAAAAATTTGTAAAAAATCATCACAAAAATCCCAAAAAATTGAGAAAAAAATCCCAAAAAATCATCACTAAAATCCCAAAAAGTAAAATTTTTTCACAAAAATCCCAAAAAATTGACAAAAACATCCCGAAAAAAATCATCACAAAAATCCCAAGAAAACAGCAAAAATTTGTCCAAAAAATCCCAGAAAATTGAGAAAAACATCCCAAAAAATCATCACAAAAATCAGAAAAAGCAGTAAAAAATTATCACAAAAATCCCAAAAAATTGACAAAAAAAAAAATCTGAAAAATCATCCAAAAAAGCCCCAAAAATTCAAAAAAAATAAAAAAAAAATAAAAAAAAAAAAAAAAAAAAAAAAAAAAAAAATGCAAAAAATAACCAAAAAAAAAAAAAAAAAAAAGCCCCAAAAATTGGATTTTCCGCCCCAAATTTTGGATTTCCTCGTTCCCGGCTTTGCGGCAGGGCTGCCAAAATT